AAGTTAAACGTTTTTTTATATAGTTAATATACGACAGTGAGTGAAATTGTCCTTATTTAATATATGAGATGAATAAACTACTTTTGTATTTATTACTTTAAAACAAGATGAATTATTATACTGTGCAAACGGAATACACCAAATTGCGAAACACAGTGCAACAAGAATACAAAGCGCAACATTGCCTAGTTTCTAAGCAAATTTATTGTGATGAAAAAATTAATTTGTTTATAAATTTTTTAAATTAAAATAAATATGATGCAATTCTATACTTTTAAATATTTTGTAGTAAATAAAATAAGGTGAAATATGTTTTTACAGAGTTCATCAGTATTCAAGTGCATAAAACCCCTAAACAGTGATAATAAATTGAGGGTTCGCATCTCACCAACGCGCTGGCCACGTAGAGTTTTATGAATTTCCATAATGTTTGTAACACTTAAATAAGTGTCAATTTCTCATAGAAAGTCCTGTACAGCGGCAAACCGTTGCAGATCGCCTATGTAGGTTATTGCGTTGCATTATTCCACTAAACCAATGTTTTAAGAGAACAGATTTAAAAATAAATTACTCATTTCATTTGTATATTTCTCATTTTCAAATAAGAAACTAAATTATGGAAAATAACTAACATTAACTGGAGCTTAGAATAAAATAGAATAAAGATTGTTTAAGCCGTGACCTTCCAATATAATCATATAAAAATTATAAAATGTTTAGGTATTTTCAGGAAGATCCTGCCTGGTTATTAATAGTTCAAGGAAATCTACCTCGTTAGATTAATTAAATTACCCCCTATTCAACGCTGTGTTGTAGAGAGATATTTATAAGTTTAAATGCAACCAAATTTCTCAGGATGACATTTCAGGACATGCGGAAGACATTTCCGTAAAAAAAAAGTATGAAAACTCTCACTAAGACACTTTTATCGATGCAAACAACGAAAAAGCAGTTTCATTTGTGGATAAAGTTTAGTTTATCGAGGATATGTTATAAATTTGGCAGTATTGAAAGACACAATCACATTGTATATCAGAAACATCACAGAAGATCAATATGGTCGGCCTTTCAACATACTGTTTTTTGCCTTTAGGATTTACATCTGAAGGTCATAATGAGTAGTATCTCCTGTCTTTACAAATAAAATATTTGTTACTTGCAGCACCAAAAGTGCCATAGCGATGAGATGTGATAGGCCTACTATTTTTTTAACGAAAACGTTTTTCTAATGAAATGTCACTATATCTAATTTGGCTGCATTTGAACTGTTAAATATCTCTCTATACAGCGTTGAACAGGTATACTTTAATTACGATAACCCGTTAATATTTTATAAGCTGTTTTGTCCTAATACTATTCAAAGCATTAATATTACGAATTTAATCTTAGTGAAAATTCATTATTTTTTTAAATTAGGCCCATGCACAGGACTTTAAAAGTGCAGTTTAAATAACGCATTTTTTTTCATGGCATAGATTAACTTTTTTATTAGTTTATTACATAAAGTAGACTCTTGCTATTTCGGTCATTTCTCGCATAGTGAGGTGCCGGATTACTGAAACTGTATAGGCCTAAGAGCAATGAATGACGATTCTTTTTAGGCGTCAGGAAGACAATTACTAAGGCAAGGCACGCTGGAATTCAATCCTATACACAGAAATGAACAAAAGAATGAATCGAATAAACAGGAAAATTTGATGTTTGACATATCTAACATTTTCATAGAAACGAAAGATCTTAGGCGATCATGCGAAATATGCCGGATAATTGAGAGGCTGGATTACCCAGGACGGATATAGCGAAAATCCATTGTAAATAGTGTAACACAATATAGTAAATTAAGGAAAAAATGAAAGGGCAGTTAATAAATATGTTATATATAATATACTGTTTAATTTTAATATTAATATACTGTATTTCCCAAATGGGAGAGATTAAACCCCAAAATCCCATCTCTCGTTGGTCCTGTACATAAGAACAGTGGTGCACTCAGGATTTAATCTTGGGGACCGAATTAAACGGATAAAAAATTTAGCCGTTGTTACATTAATCTCTCTGTGTATATGACAAAGCCATAATCGTGGTTGTGTTATGGTAGCTCTTAAATAGATTTTTAAAAGACGTAAAGTGGAAAATGACCTTTCACTGACACATGTTGTTACTGAAAGTGTTGCTAATATTTTTAATAAATTATAGATGTTTTGGGCTGCAATTTCAATAAAATATAGACCTATAAATTTCCACTGTCGCCTGACTGTCTGTCCTTTTCAATCTCGTGAACAGAATTAGATAGATGAGTGCTGAAACCAGATATGGAAAGAGTGGGAGCAGAGGGCCCCGAATAACTGTATTTTAACTTTCGGTTTGCACCGGAAGTCACGTTATTTCAATTTAAAATGTTTTCCCTGAAAGGAGTTAGATGACTGGCATAACTCTACTGCAAACGGGAAAAGTATGATGTATAGAGGGCAAGACATATTAATTTGAGATGAAGAGCATGTATTTTAAATTAAATTAATTAAAAATATGATGAAAAATTGCAGCGAGGCATTGTGACGATGTCGTAAAAAACAATTGCTCGTAGGATATATTTTAATAATCATAACTTTTAACAATATACACGAAACATCGTCCTTCCCCACCCAAAGAGGAGTTTCTCCTAGTAGGACCCATTCAAATACTCTTAATACTCTTATTTTCATGAAAGAGCTGCTCCGGCTATTTAAATAATCAATGCAGGTTTGGTAAAATTTATAAATTGTATAAAATAAATTAGGTAAATTAAATATTTGCGTCCGTATACGGCACCAATATTCAATTTACTATACTGTATTTCAATTTACAAAACAAAAGACAAAATGGCCATTTTAGATTTTAAAAAATTTAAAAGACAAACCAGTGAAATAAAAAACTGTCCTCTTAAATAAAGAACGTACGGTCATCGTATTAATTAATATTGTCCATAACAACTACCGTCGAATGACTTTCATGGACATATGTAAGTTGGGCCGGTCTTGAATCAATGCACAGTTTACATGTTATCATTCGAAACTCTATAAAGAATTCCAATTCTTTCTAATATGTGAATAGCAACTTTGTCCGTGTTAACTTTCTCCCACCCACAGAATTGACAGAAACTAGAAATTTTAAGTCCTTTGAGAAAAATAAGATAAAGGGCCTCCAATGCTTAGGGCATTCTTGATGGTATAGGGATTTAAATATTCCTATTGCCAAGATTTTAAATATTTTCCGTAGAAACAAATCCCAAAACCTGATCTGGTTTCTAAAACATCGCTAAACTGAACTTAATATTAGTTATGCCACTTGGCGAATATTTAGCATACTTTTTTCTTTAGTAAGTCCATTATGGTTTCAGCCAGGTTCACTGTGTGGGGTGAATGGATGGTGAGGGATGGAGCCTGACATTTCCAGACGGATTACTTCCCAAAAAATTCCTGGAGTTCTTCGACCTATCCGGATTCGTTTCCGATCCTCCAGAGTAATAGGCTGCCAACCTAACCGCTCGGCCATCTTGTGTCCAATAGATACGCCACTGCTTCGATCTAACATTATTGACGTCTTCCACTTCCGTACGATACCCATGATCTCTGCTGTTTCGAATTGAACAAACGAATAGTGCCTAGAAACACAAGGCACTATTCGTTTGTTCAATTCAGCGCCCGTGTTTTCTACGAGTTCCCATCTTATGCAACCGCTAATTCGCAAGTAATTTAGAAGTAGAGGAAACAACAAAATATGAATATAAAAATGAATTTTAATTAATAAGTGTTTTTTTAGTTTCTTTGCCCCTTAGCCTTTGGTTCCTTTACTCCTCTGGGTTATCCACTGTATAAGAATAAAATTATGCGACATCGTGAACAAGTTTTTGTTATTTATTTCATTTAATTTACAAAATGGTAAATTTTTAAGAGTTGTGAATTACGAAGGCATTAATAACTTAAATTACTATATCAAAAATATTTTTAAAATTTTAACAGTTAATATTAAAAGCCTAAAAAATAGCCAAGGAACAAGAGAATGATTTCTTTAAACCGCTTTTTTCTTATATAATACTACGAAATTATAGACAGCATTCTTCAATTGTAGAAAATTCTTGAGAAGTGAAGCGTGACAAACATGTAATAATATTTTAGAATTCAAAAAAAGTTTAAAATTCAGCACAAAATATTTATATTCTACAAATAACACAATAAATACTAAGAAAAAAGTAAGGAGATTTGAAATTTTATTTCTATTTCTCTTCATTGTGTAAAATATTTTATTTGTATCTACATTTTAATATATTTTTTCCAGGATATGAACTCAGTATAACACGATTATACATAGACTAATGTTAATATCTGTAATTAAAAATTTATAACTTTTAGATAAGATAGCTTTGTGTGTTTTAGGTTTAATTTTTCAATAATATTTTCTTTATTAATCTATTATTTAATTTTTATTTATTATATTAAATGTCAAATAATAAATAAAAATGGCAACCTAATTAATAAGGCTTGTAAAGAGTCTGCAACTTATTTACATAAAATGTTGATTTTGCAATTCTTAATTCTTTAAACTTTTATTATTTGTAGATATTTCATATTAAAATTCTTTATTGTATTCCTTAAAATATTTTTTTTCAAATAACTTAATAAATAAAGAATAATAAAGATGAATAAAGAACACAGAAGTAATTCTAATGTTAATCTCAAGATCAATGTTATGCATCATTACTTATAATTAATTTAAAATAAATATAAACTGTAATAATTATTTTCCAACATTTCAACTAGAAAATATTTCTCTTATTTTCTATTCATTTAAAAATAATTTCTTCAGGTTAACAGGTTAATAAATTCATGTTAACAAGCTCATTAAACAGAATTTAAACGAATTAATCTTGTAGTTAGACATTGGCAAAATGTAATCAATATTTTTATTTTTTTAATGTCAATTTTATCGATAATCTATGGACTGACACTTTATCTTTTGTTTAGATAGATTGCTGTGTCATTTGAAACATGCAGCTGTCGAAGCTAACTTTTGTAGGAGCTCTTACAACCGTTTTAATTACTTCTGTTGCAATTTTAATGTTCAAAAAATGGAGAAACAGATGTCGAAAAATAGGACGACTTTCTAAAATAATTCTCTATCCTGTCAAATCTATGGCTGGTCTGGAAGTGCAACAAGCAGTATGTAAAGCTACTGGTTTAGAATGTGGTCAGATACGTGACAGGTACGTTAATAAAAGCTTCTTCTTGTAGTCTGTATCTCATATTAATAATTTTTATCTAATCTGAAATAAACAATGATATAAAAATCGAATTTTATATTTTATACAAATATATTTTCATTAATTTCNTTTTAATAACCATTTTTGTCATCAGAAAACATTCGAAAAAATTTAATTATATTAATTATGTTTAAATGGTTTACTGTAGTTTTTTTTTTTTATAATTCTATTATGATTTTTCATGGCTTCTTATCACACTATTCTTTCTCTAGTGATTCTTTTCCATGATGATTTGACACGTTATTACTATTATTACTTATCGCCACGTCAAGTTAATTGCGTTAATTCTTTCTTTCTAAACCTTTCAGATGTTGCATTCTTTTCTCTCATTAAATTTTTATCCTGGAATTTTCTTGATTCCTTATTTCTTTTCTTTTGTTCAGCTATCATTTATTCTCTTATCGCCATACCTTTTTGACATGCAAACCTAATGATAGACTCTTCTTCTATTTAGAGACTCATTTGATTAAATATAATTATCTTAAAATTTTTTAAAGANGAATGTGGTCAGATACGTGACAGGTACGTTAATAAAAGCTTCTTCTTGTAGTCTGTATCTCATATTAATAATTTTTATCTAATCTGAAATAAACAATGATATAAAAATCGAATTTTATATTTTATACAAATATATTTTCATTAATTTCTGCAATAAATATATTTTAAATGAGAAAGATGAATTTTAGAATAAAAAATAACATATAGTTATAAAATATAATTAATTTTTAATGATTTTAATTAATAAATTATAATTCTTTATCAAACTTGATAGTGTTTACTCTAGAGATCGCTGATTACTGATCGACAGATTTTACAAGCTATTCTAACATATTTATATTTAGAATAGACTTCTCCATTGGTATTCTACATTGTACATGTATTGTACATGTATGCCTAATTAAACTATTATCAATTTTAAAATATATAGAATATATTTAATTAGATAACAAATCGTTTTACAACAGTAGTACAATAAATATTGGGTATCATTTAAATTACATCATTTTGAATTGAGTTAGTTGCTTTCCTTAATCTTTTCTTCAGCCTAGATCCTCGAGTGAGCTCTACCCGAATAATATAATTTAGTTAGTTGCTTTTTCCAATAATATATATCCACTTTTATTTGTTTCTCCTTTATTTAATAATAATTAAGATTAGAAAGTTCGAACACATATAACCCATAGGAATGCATACACGTGACGACATAACTCGTTCTGTGTGTCTAGTCTCAGGTTAAATGAGTAGCAACGTGAATATGTTGGGAATATCACGTGTTACCTAACTAAACTACGTGGCACGTGATACTTCCAACATACCAGGCACTTTGAGTGGGACAATTTTAATGTCAAATAGTAGAACGTTACATCTAAAGTACACGATAAATAATTTACAAGTGAAAATTCGATGAAAATACGGAAGTTTTTGTAACCTAATTAAAGAACAATATGTTAGGTCAATTTTCTATACAAACTTTATTAGGCTAAGAGTTATTTATATTCTAATTGTCAAGTATAAATATAATATAAGTTCATACAGTCCGAAATTTTATTTGAACATAATAGGTTTCAACTACAATTATATAGACCTATTATTGTAAATTATTTTTCTTACTGTAATAAATTTGCAGTCATTTTAAAATTTTATAAAAATAATTTTATGAATTTAAATAAAAATAAGGAAAATTTGTTATTAAAAAATAATATTTTCCTTATAGACAATTATATAAACGACTAATAATTCAAATATTGCTATTGGAAGTTGAATCATAATGTTTATTTCACTTGCTATAAAGATGTATTAAATTATTATAAATGAAAATTTCCAAGAGAATTATTTGTAAAAATTCCAGAAACGAATTAACTAACTTTCCCGGCAAAAAAGTGAAATTTGTACGTGGCGCTATCTGTTATAAAATTTTATTTTTAAAAACTTTTTATATTATTAAATATTATAAAATGGCAAATGTTAATTTTAAGAATAGAAATGAGTTTTATAAAAAATAAATAATAATTGTAAATGCTTATAACCAGTAAAATCTTTATTAAGTTTGACCTCACTCGAGATATGACACAACACCTCGATCTTTAACCACCAAAATTTAATAGCATCAATCCCCTAATACACAAATCTGCCTGCAAAATTTCATAAATTTTCGACAAAGGATAGAGGAATTATTAAGCTTCAAATTGCTTTTTACTACTACTCTGCAAACATCACTGTTACATCGTCAATTCTTTTTCTTGTGTCTTCAGCTATCTTGTCCATCTATCTCTTCTTGAATCTTCTGGTTCTTCTCCCCTCCATCTCCTTCCCCAAAACCAACTTTGGTATTCTAATTTTTCTCATTCATTTGGTACGTCCATACCAACTCAGTCTAATTTGTTCTATCTTTCCCCCAAATTTTATATTCCTGTTTTTCCCTTATTTCTTATTCGCTTATTGTACTAACAGGAAAAGAAAAATTTGAAGTTTTTGCCGGGAAAGTCATCCCATTTTATCAGATATAAATTAGATTATTTGTTAATGATTATTTATATATCATTTCAATAATATACGAATTCATATAATTTAATCTTAACATTGACTCATTAGTAATATATGCAAGTTGACTCATAAATTAGCCTAGAGAAAATCTATTTAATATTGTAGGTCCACGGCCATAAAGAAAATTATAATTTTAAAACTTTTATATTTATTGCATTAGACGTAAAAGATAAAAATATAAAATTAATGCATTACTTAAAAATATATAAAATACGTTTTAGTATAGTGTACTTGTAATTTTATTTCATCAATTGTTGCTTCATTACTTTCTCGGCTGTTATATATAACAGAGGAAAAGTATGGCAATCAGTCAAAAAAAATGATTCCCAAGGTTTTTACATTTTTGAACTCGGAGACCTTGCAACGTTGAAAAATGCAAAACAAAAAAATGAATTTTTTTCTGTATGTATGGGTGGGGGTACACGATTTTTTTTAATTCAATCTGAAGTTTAATAACTCCCGTGATTCTTGTCGAAATTTTCTGAAACTTTGCAAGAAGATCTGTATATTAGGAAGATTGATGCTAATAAACTTTGCTGGTTAAAGGTCGAGGGGGTTGGAAGATAGAGGAGATCATGGTGCCATATCTCGAGTGGATCCGACGGATTGAATGGTTTTTCTCGTTTTCAGCATTTTCTCACTTTATATAGGCCTATATATAATATATAACCCATCTCTACCTACAAAATTAATCTTTTGCCATTTTATAATATTTAATAAAATAAAAAGTTTTAACTAAAATCTCATAACAGACAGTTTTTAACTCTTGGTTAGAAATTTACACAACTCGTTGCTAGATCTTTTTCTTTATTTTCTATTGTCATCAATATATCTTTTTCTGACGACATAAACAAATTCTTCCAAACGACATTCATAAATTATTACGAAGTTGATTTAAAATATATTTTAATTATGAAAATGATCTTTCGCAAGATATTTGAGCGAATAATATAGTTAAAACGAATGTATGTGCTAAAAACAACATTTTAACCTCTATCTTGGTACATAGAGTGTAATTACGCAATTTTGTGTTTTTGAGAATTTTTCTACAATTAGCAGAATTTATGGCAATTATGAATTGCAACGACAATCTAATTGTCATAATTCTTAGAAAAGTGATTATCCCATTTGTTCTTCTCTACAAAAAAGTAATTAAAGCAGAAAACATGCTGCTTCGATTCTGTTATGAATGCCATTTCGATTCCTTTATCAATCTCCTGCATAAACAGAAATCTAAAGAACAAAAACATGGCCGACGACGACGAATGTATACGAATTTGGGCAAGGATTTTCAAGTTAATGCGGTTTATGGAAGAACTTTTCAACATTTTTCACAATTGGAATTTAAATTTTTATATTTCTGTAATAAGCTTAATGCAAGTTTTCAATTGATGTAAAAAAATCTAACTAATTCTGACCATAATTCGGCGCATTGCTTGTTAGAGAACAGAAGTATGTCACTAATAACGCACTATATCTATTGTCGATTTCTTTTTTCTTTTCCATTCTCATTAAGCGTGAAACGATCTTTATTGTTACTTGATCCTTGTTGATTCAATGCAGCGAGGAATAATCATTTCCGAAATAATTTGTACTGTACACAAAGGAGAAGAAACCTGTAGGAATTACAGTTTCTATTAGACTAGGAAACAACGAGAAATGATTAGAAACTGTCTACAAATTATTGAAATTTTTACTCCCCAACTCAAATTATGGGATACAAAAATAAAAAATTTAATTCGTGTAAAGAAAATTTATTAGAAAGTTTTATAACCTAACATTTAAAAAAAAAAAAAAAAAACGATCCAAAGCTTTCAAATCTAAATATTGTAAATTCTTATTCTTAGCAAATTTTTGTACATAATAAATGTAATAAATTTATGTCATTTAATAATAAAAATTAGATTAAAAAAAACTCAGAAAAAGACATCGAAATCCTAATCCTCTTTCCAACATCTGATGACAAATAAAGTATATCCATTTGTCATCAGATGTCGGAAAGAGGATTAGAATTTCTACGCTTTTTTCTGTGTTTTTAAATCTAATTTTTATTATTAAATAAAATATAAATTTATTATATTTATCATATACATAAATTTGTTAAGAATAAACATTAAATTCGTCAAAGTACATCGTGCAAAAGTAACATCTTTAGTCATCGTTAAGAATTCAAGTAAACATTTGTTATTCAAAACCACATTATCTTTACAGCATTTAGCATAATTTTTAACTTTAACTAGTGCAAAATATTATTAGTTTTATTATTGTTAGGTCAATCTTTACCCTTATGGGCCAGATACCGACGTCTGATGACAATTATATTAATATTAAATATGAAAGAAGATCCTAAGATGTTTTGAGTAATTTTTCTGAGTTAAGAAAAGATATATTAAGAGTAA